TAATGTGAAACTAGTTTTCAACATGGTTATGTCAATTTAAACTGCTGGCAATAATGAATAACAAATTACATTGATCCACAGCCTCTCAAACACTGTATTTTCCTTCTTCTTACTTTTTGCTGGTTGATTGAGTGCAACATAGTAGGTCATTCTGCATGTTTCTGATGATTAGTGAGTTTAAGCTTTTCTTCAAATATTTACCTACGGAACATACATGCTTCCTTTTCAGAGAAATGACAGTTTATGTTTTTATCCATAATTTTATTGGCACTGTTGCTGGACTTTCTATGTTATTCTGTTGGTCAACTTACACAACCATACTCTAGCAGCACACTCTATTAATTACCATGGTTTTCAAAATCTTGATCTCTAAATATGACAAGTTTCCCATCTTTGTCCATCTTCTTGTTCAGACAAGCCTTGTCTTTTAGGACCACTGAACATCCGCATAAACTTTAGAATCAGCTTGTCAGGTTTTATGGAAAACTGTCAGATTTTTATTGGAGAAGCCACAAAGCTATAAACCAATATAGGGAGAATGAACATACTCAGAAAATAACTATTTCCATCATGAGTATGGAGTATATTTCTATTTATTAAATTTCTGTTTAATGTATTTCAGCGAAGTCTGTAGAACATCCTTGCACAGGGCTTGCAAAACTTTTGTTAGATTTATTTCTAGACCCATTATGATTTTAGTTGTAAATTATATACTTAAATATGCATGTGTGTGTCTTCTAATTGTTGATAGTACATAGAAAAACTATTCACATTTGTATATTGATCCTGTATCCAATCTCATTGCTAATCTCCATACATGAACCATTATTTTTCCATCTATAAAATGCCTACTGCACATGGTTGTTATGAAGACGAAATGAGAGATTACTGAGAACACACAACATTTTTTACAGGCATGTACCAAACATTACTTGCCATTCCCTTTCTTTGTTAGGAAAACAGTAAATGAAAGAGACTTATACAGAGAGGAAGAAGGTGATAGAGAATGAAATCTAATGCTATTTTAGTTTGCTAATAATGATTTTTTTGGTAATTTTTTTGTGTATTTGGTTGCATAATGATTGAACTCTACTGGGTTAGTGAAATGCACAGTAGATAACTGCATGGCATTTATTTTTAAAGCCATGGAAAACAGAGGACATATCTAAGAACTACAGTCACAATGTAGGGGCTTAATCTCATTGTTAAATGTTATATATAAAAATGAAACAAAATAAGATCATTTAGGGTTATTTCTTCTTAGAGAAAAATATAATGATATATTAACTTATACTTTTGACTATGCTCCATTATATTATAGTAAAAACTACATTTTCTGATAAATCTTGAACCTATAAGATTTCTTTCCTTTCTTCTTTCTTTCTTTTCTTCCTCCCTTTCTCTCATCCTCTCATTCATGATAAATTTAAGACTCTTTGAGTCCTGAATTAAGCTTGAAGGATAATATATGGATGGTTTTAGACACTGACTTGGAGCATTAACCAGTCATTCACCTTCACTCTGGGGGTTAAAATAGCAATTTATTTGATGTTACCTTGAATGAGTGTGTTCACCTTTCACTATCTCACATGTATAAATATAATGCATTCAAACGTTTAATATGAGATTGTGATAGATATATTTCCCACCCTAATATTAAAGAGATTTTGAGGTTTTAAATATTGTTTACACTATTAAAATCCAGTGTCCTGAAATATTCACTTGACCTACTATGTTTGTAAGTTGCACATTTAGAAAGCTTTCTCAGTATATATGCATGAAGACTGCACTTAATACCCTCTAAGCTGTGAAAGAACACCTTCAATAAAGTACATAATGACCTCTCATTAGGATAGCTTTGCTTCAATAATCCTAGAATGACTCCTTCTTCTGAAATTGTACATACATATGTATAAAAGGTAAATCTCCACATAAGGCTAGCTAGATATTTTTACTTACTTCATTTTTTTATAAAGTTAGAAATAGTTCAAATGAGGTAACTTAAAGGTGAGCCAGTGGAAAATCCACTTTACTGAATTTATTTTTCACAATTGAATTTTTCTATCATCATTTGTTTTTGATCCCTGTCCTCAGATAAGTTATTTCTGGGTGGAACATAAACACATTCTTAGTAAATAAAACCACACACAAAAAACATTAAAAGATATATTGTTGTAGTAGTGAAATGTCATCAGGCTACATTTGACAAGAGTAATTCTACTGCTTGAAAAATAAATAGGAATATAGAAAACTATCTTTATATCCAAATATTGTCCTTCCTTCTACTCCTAAATTTTCATTCCAACCATTAAAATTAATGATTATAAAAAAATCCATGCCCGTGTAAAAATCAGTAAAGGACCACTCATTCCTATGTATAAACGCCTTTTATGAAAAGTCTAAAATATGTTTTTATACCATATACAACTCAAAAATTCATCTTTTCAGGGCCGAGCACGTGGCGCACTCGGGAGAGTGCAGCGCTGAGAGCGCAGCAGCGCTCCCACCACGGGTTCGGATCCTATATGGGGATGACCGGTGCGCTCACAGTGCTCACTGGCTGAGAGCAGTGCAGCCGGTCTCAAAAAGGACAAAAAAAAAAAAAAAAAATCATCTTTTCTCCTTTTTTTTTTTTTTGCCTTCTCTTGGATTAGTAAAACATAAAGTAAATAATCACATTGCATAAAGTGAAGGAAAGTGAATAACATATTTAAGAATAAAATTCATGGCTCCATCATTTTAAAAGATAAGGGGGGGAGGAGTTGGTGAGAAATTGGTTAATGGACACAAAGAATGATTACATTTAGTAATGACAAGTATGTTAAGTATTCTGACTTGATGATCACACATTGTACACAGGTATTGATATTCAACTCTGTACCCCACAAACACGTATAATCAATCGTTTCAATAAAAAAATAAAAAACAAAATAATTTTTAAAATCCCCATGAATTATGCAGTACTTCACACAGGAAGTGTGAGCAAAAGTTGTGGCTGATTTAAAAGATACTGTTAGTTACAGGGGATGACCTAATGATCAGAATTTTTAAATGAATGGAGATAAAATTTGTCACCATAGATAAAACAAATTATCGAGACTTAAATTCCCACAAGGGCAGAATTAAATTATTCATTTTATTCATGAACAACAACAAAAATAGAGAGGTCTGTGCCCCTTTCCCCAAGAGAGAAGATTTTCTGTGAATAATGGTACCCAGTAGCCACTTGGATATGGATAAAGCCTAATATGAAAGGAAAGAGCTTGAGAAAAGCCCATGTTGTTTTTCATATAATTTCTTTATATATTAGTTCAATATTATTTTTTTATTTCAAGCTTTATTAATCAAGACTAATTCTTAAGGGTAATTCCAATATGAGAGTCTATAACACATAATTGGATAGCCTGTGGATCACTTCAGAGGTTTGATTTCCTTGTTAGTAGATATATTTAACAGGCATTGTTGATTCATTTTCTGGAAGTTTGTAGAGATTTCTGTAGACCTGATCTAAATTAGACTAAACATTCCTTAAGACCTCATTTAGATCCTAGGTTCTATGATACGAATGAAAGTAATGAGTATACACTTACGTGTTCTTGATTACTTTTGAAGAAAATGATGAAAAATGATCTTAATGGAAATAACATTAGTTTCTCTGGGGTAAAAGTTAAAATGAAGTTAATTTATTTTGCATCATTCCTAGTTTTATCTGATCTGACTTTAATTGAAAATTAACTCAGTCTACTTGGATGTGTGGTGCTCAATTAAATAGAAACAGTTACCTAAGTCAGGTGTAAATGCACGATTTGCCAAAACCCCCACCTATAATTCTCTTTTAAAATGCATAACATTTCTGGATAATGTTTACTAAGAGGAATTCTGGCCAATACAATGTCCACTTCCAAAAATGCTGCCTAATATCACAAGCATCAATTTGAAGCATTATGCAGTCTCTTCAGATCAAATGTTCTCACTGTTAAATTTCAAGAACATAAGACTGCAGTGTAACAATTCAGGGATATTAATTCAGGAATACTTAATTTCTTCAAAAAATACAAGTTAATAAATCTTTGGTAGCTGGAAGCTTTTAAATTGTTTTTATACTCATTACATTAATAAAGGAACTTACTAAAGAAGTAAAATTTTACCAAAAAGTTGACACTAAACAACCATCACCTCCTACCTCACCCATCACCTCTAGTACTAACTGTACGACCAAGGTCAGGACATCTGATGTATTCATGCTTCACCTTCTCATCTCCAAAATGGAGATAACCCTACCTCTTAGGGTCATTGTAAAAATCAAATGAAGAGATATGTGTAAAATAACCTGCATGATATCTGGAACATGGTAAGTGCAAAAGAAATGTTCGCTGTTAATTATTATTACACCCACCTTCCTCGCTCTGATTCTCACGGCTACCATCCCCAATCTTTCACTTGGCATTTACCTCCATATTTTAAAAAATGATGAATGACTTTTTTACATTATTTATTTGCTTTTGACTCTGGTAGATGTTAACTTTGTGCATCCACACCATTCCCCATTGTCTCTTAAACTACCCATATAAAGTTGCTATTTCATAGTTTTGGTTAAATCAGCAATCACCAATGTTCATATGTTCATGACATCAGCTAGGAATTTCAGAGACAATAAGATGGGGCCTTGAAGAGGTGATTGGGTTGTAGGACCATGCAGTAGTGAAAGGATTAAAAATGATGGTCAGGGACGTGGTTCTGAGGGCTTTAAAAGAATAGGAGAGTCTGTCTTTCTCTCTCTCTCTGCTCTTTCTGCTTCCACCATCTTGCAATGTGAGACCGCTGGGTCACTGTCACCACCACCAGATGGACTTCGGACTTCCCAGCCTCAGAAACTGTAAGCAATAAATGTTGTCATTTTTATAAATCACCCATTCCAGGTATTGTGTTATAAGCAACAAAAATGGACTAATAAAGACACCAACACCCTCATTTCCTATTCCACATTAATTTCCATGCAGGCCTTTCGTTTCATCAACCACTGAAAATCCTGCTTCACAAAGATATGACATCCTGAAAAGGAAAGTAGATGGAACTAAGGGTGAAACCAGGAAGTGCCTTGGCTAACTCCAGAGACTAAACCTCCCATCACCTTCAAGATCACCTGTGTGTGCAGAGGAGAAGAGAATTTCCTTTGGTACAAGTGCTCTGTCAAGAGAATTTCAGCCAATTTTTCTCTTTCAGCTCAGTGCTTGACCCTACCTTCAGGAGTACAGTAAATCCCTGAGCACTGAGATTCTCAGAGTTCCTCTGGGGCCAGTCATTTGACTACACATCCACATAAGGTCTGGGTTCAGTTGCTCTGCTTTCTAAATTAGTTGTCTTCCCTCTGTTGCTTTCTGATTCCCAATAAAGCTGTCAATATCTTTAATCAATGGCGGACTCTCAGAACTCTTTTTTTTTTCCATGTGAATTGATAATTTTTTAAATTCCATTTTAACTATTTTTCATACAGTGGAATTTGAGAAAGGAGGTAAATCAGGGTGATAATGCAACATTTTCAATTGGAAATTCGGGGTGGATTCTGAAAATAGCTCAATCTCGGCAAGATGAAGGATAAAAGTAGAGAATCCCAGGTATTACCCATATGAAGGATGCCCTGTTATTAGATAAAACACCGTCATTTATTGTCTATACCAAAGACTGGGAGATTGTATATTTTAGACCTCACAAAACTTCCTTTGCTGCCCAGGAACCTACTGTTTCAGGATGTTCTGGTATTCTCCTCAGCACCACCCCTCCCCACACTTAATCAGTGCAGAAATATTCTCTAAAACCAGCCACCTCCTATTCCAAACACACATTCATTCTTTCACAATGACTTAATCTCTACATGGGTATAGAACGCAAACAAGTTTTACCGAAGGTATTAGTTCCAGTTGATTGGCAGTAGCCAAGAGTTTTGCATTTTAGTTTTATTTACCTCCAATTCAGCAAATTTTTTGCATTATAAAAAGTAGCTTTTTAAAAAATATATCTTTACACTTCTGTATCCACTTGGTCTAATCTTAGATAACATATTTGAAGACAAAGATATTTTATTATCACTATTAAGGAATAAGATATGTTATTCTTGTGAAGAACATAGCATATTTCCAGATTTAGTTATAGATTAAATGTTAGCAAATTTTAAAAGTTTGTACATTATTCACTCCACTCAGCTCCATGAAAGACTGTGAAATAGTTGTTTCTTTGAAAGGTTTGATGCCAGAAGTATTTATAGTTGTAAACATGTAATCTGGTTTCACTATTGAACCTGGATTCAAAATTGGTAGTTAAGACATCTATTACAGATGAAGTTTGCAGAAACAGTGTTTCCCTTTTTTATTTACACAGAACCTGTGTTAAGTTCAGAATTTATAAAGGAAGAAAATGCCTTAAACATCTGTTTCTTTGTATCCAATAGGAGGCTATGCTTCGGCTAGCAGGAACATAGATTATGTAGACTAACCTTTGTGATTGGCCATCAGCACATTTGGAAATTTAACGTTCCAGTATTTTAACAGCTTCAAAAGACTTTAATTGTTAGTATTTAAAATGAGAAGTTGTTTTCAGATATGAAATTGCAGGAGAAAAGATGGATAGGTTTTATTTTTATTGTCAGTCTTTAGATTTTAATCTTAAAGCTCCTTTGCAAATAATATTTGTTCTCTGGAGATAGCAGTTCATGTCTTTCAAAAAAGTTTCTGGATTGGTAGCTTTGAAAAAGTCATATATAAGTTAAAAAAAAAAAAAAGCCGAAACATTCACACTCACACACACACAAACACACACACACAGTTGTTCTGCAAATTTTCTCGGTAAGAGTAGGACTACCATCTGTGAAAAAAATTTTGATACTTTGTTGAGATGCCTCAAAATCCTGTTTAATCTTCTGTTTTCTTAATATGCACATTAACACTCAGATTATTTTATTACTATGTATGCAGCACTTTTTATACTGATTCACCTCCTGCTGGAGGATGTAAATTTTTGGAGGCATAAACCATGATTTTCCTTAGTAAATAAAACTGCAACATCTGCACATTACTAAAACTAAAGTAAACCCTTAAAAAAATATGCAAAATATTTTTCAAAATAAGAGGCCTTGGTTGCAAGCAAAAGAAACTGATGCTGGTCACCATAAGCAATAAGGAATATATTCTTCACATATTCCACTATATGTGGAAAAGTAATTCCAACTACACAGGATTCTAAAGAATTTACGTTAGACAATGCACAGAATCCAAGGTCACCCAGAGGAGCCAAGAGCTAGGACCCAGGTGACCCCTTGTTATTGCACACTAGCACCAGGCCTAAGAAGAAAGATATTAGATGCATGCCCACACGCTGGTTGCCAGAGAGTCAAGGAGGTAGGTGTGGCCCCTCTGGTTGCTATATTACTAGGTCGCCCTCTGCTTTTTACCCATCAACCCACTGGGGAAAGCCTCAACTCCAGGATGGGGGTAAATTTTGAGTAGGCAAAGAATTATAAATATGACTGCCCATTAATCTTGCACGCACCTTATCTAGCATTACATTTTCAATAAGAATGTTCCTCCAAATGCAGTGCAATGTATTTCTTACAAACAAAATTGTGCATATCTGTCCTACAAGGAAAAGAAGGTCTCATCAGTCTAGGATCACTGTATCATTTTTATTTATCCTGTAGAATCATTTTGTCCTATGTCCTTTTTTTGTCATTAGAATGCTATTAAAGTGCGCAAATTAATTAAATTTTCCATAGAGGATGATATCATATATCTTAGGTTTTCTCTGTTTTATACCTGTTTATAGAAACCTAGATTTCTTAGTTTATTTGTGTTTAAAATATCTTAATTTTTTAAATTCCAAAAAATCCATTGTTTGATATAAGAAGTACCATCCCCCACTAAATTGTTTTCACTAAGTAATGTCTTCTGGTAAAATTCCCGTTTACTTTTTTTGAAAATGAGTGATTCCCATTTTCTTCACATTGTTTTTGAGCAGTTGAGACTCCACAGCAAAAATAAACAGTTCTCTATAAGGTCAGTTTTAAAAGAGCAGCTCATAAAGTAACACTTAATAAGCATGCACTATACGCCTGCATTATTCTTAAATTCTGACTGGCTTTAATGGGACCAGAGTGAATTAATTTTTTAAAGAATGAGCTCCATTTTCTTATTCTTTGCTGTGTTTTCACTATGGTACTATTCTTTGAAGCCATGAATCTATAGCCCCTCAATATCTAGAAAATAAGGAACTGGGATGAAATGCAGTAAAAAAAAGAAAGAACTTTTATGAATTCTTTAGAAACTCCCTAGCCTAGAAGATGCCCAAATTCACATCATAACTACAGTTATTTAGGACATAAAAAATCTTTCCAAATAATTATTAAAGTAGGAAGAAAATCAATCCTTTAAAACTTTTTAAAATAAAAAGATCTGTTAAAGAAACTCCATTTCAAATGGCACAATATTTGATTAAATGGGAATTTCATAAAAATAAAACATGAAAATTGTTTACAAATATTTTACACCACTAAAACCCTTTGGGTTCATCTGAAGTCTGTTTAGAATCTGTTGTGATGAGTAAAATTTAATTAAACAATTACAATTATACAACTTTTAAATTTTGAGTGTTTTTCCAGTTCTTTTTTGTAATGTGTATTTCAGCAAACTTTTGCGTAGAACGAGCACATCAGGTCCTACTTCCAAGAATTATTATGGGGATTAAATGAGATAATGCATGAAAAGTTACTAACATGGACAATTTTAATAATAGTAGTAGCAATAATAATGCTCTTATTTTGCTTTCTGACTTTAGTAATAAATATGCTTTAAGATTTTTAACCTAAAACTCTTGACATATACTGTGGCTGCTATAATGACACCTAGCATGGAAGATTTTAGATTTTAATAAAGTTTGTTCAGAGCTGTCTGACTCGCTCAGCTGGTTAGAGCATGGTGCTGGTAACACCTAAGTCCTGGGTTCGATCCCCGGACTTCGCCAGCTGCCAAATAATAACAACAACAATAATAATAATAATAATAATACAGCATGTTCAAAAACTTGTGCTAACGCAAGACAACAAAAGTATTCCTAAAGTTATGCCTTATTGAGTAATATGTTTCTTGTTTGTATTATAGCAATCAGAACAAGCACTTTATGAGTTTGAACATATGGAGAAAATTTAGCAAATGAACTTTTTATCTTAAAAGTTAATAGATTCTCCACATGTAGCGATGCATTAGTGAAACTATTATCTTGGGAAAAAATAAAGAATAAAAACACAAATAAATGGAACTTGAATGAGAAAGAGAGGGAGAAAGGAAGGGAGAGGGAGAGGAAGAGGACTTACCAGAAAATGTGCATAGTGACGTGGGATGGGGGAGGAAAAAGTAACTCGAGTAGCATCTCATGTGAGGTTCCTCATTGCTGGTCTAGTCCAGTTGTCAGACTTCAACATGGTGCATCAGAATCATGTGGAGGGTTTGTTACACAGATTTCTGGATCCTCCCACCACCGGATTATGACTTGTAGTTTGGACGGGACCCAAAACTTTGCATTTCTAACAAGTTCCCAAGTGATGCTGACGCTGCTGGTCTGGGGAACCACACTTTGAGAACCACTGGTCTAGTTTATAATAGACTAATAGATTATTGCTTTATTCTCCAGCTTGCTATGGAAATCCCAAACAGTGTTTTAATGAATGATATATACAACTGATACAGTTCATGTTTTCTCAGACTTTACCACTTAGTATTAATAAAGCTATTACAGTTTAATTATTACACATGTATACAATTATCCTATATCTTGAGAGTTGCATGTAATACAAAGCTACCCAACAAGCATATTTAAGTATAGAAATTAAGGAGAGCACAGAACTTAGGTTACAAGAGGTGGGAAAGGGGAAGGGGAAGGGCTAAGGGAGGAATTGGTAAAGGACCACGAAAAAATGATTACATTGTATAATATTGAATATACTAATTATCCTGATTTGAACATCACATATTACACAAAGTTATTGATGTTCAACTATGTACCCCACAGATATGTACAATCAGCTAGGTTTCAATAAAAATAAATGAATAAATAGAAATAAAAATGGAAGTCAAAAGATTCTGCTTTTAAAAAACAAAACAAAACAGAAATTAGATGTCTTAAGCATTTTGGGCCCTAGCCAATAAATAAGAATAGAAATCATCAATTAGATCGATATAAATTAAAACAACAATGAAGCACCTCTATTCCCATTTCAGAAAGATTTCTGAAAATGTTTCATAATATCCTGTACCCTCTTAGTGGAAGTCTAAGGTGATTCCTTAAGTGAGTCTAGAAAGTGTGATTCCAGAGTTTATCTAGGTGGTGAGATTTGGAGTTACCGTTTATACTTATTATGATTTCTTATATT